CAGACGCTCTTAGCCAGAGCGACTCACAAATTGGTGCGTTCACCCTATAGCCAGTGGGATAACCACTTTACAATTTGGGGGGGGGGGGGGGGGGGGGGGGGGGGTGGTTAGAAGGAATACTTTAGCCTATCCCAGGTATTCCTTAAAGAGGTGGGGTTTCAAATGTCTCCGGAAGGTGGTGAGTGACTCCGCTGTCCTGGCATCGTGAGGGGAGCTTGTTCCACCATTGGGGTGCCAGAGCAGCGAACAGTTTGACTGGGCTGAGCGGGAGCTATGCTTCCGCAGAGGAAGGGGAGCCAGCAGGCCAGAGGTGGATGAACGCAATGCCCTCGTTTGGGTGTAGGGACTGATCAGAGCCTGAAGGTACAGAGGTGCCGTTCCCCTCACAGCTCCATAGGCAAGCACCATGGTCTTGTAGCGGATGCGAGCTTCAATTGGAAGCCAGTGGAGTGTGCGGAGAAGGGGGGTGACGTGAGAGAACTTGGGAAGGTTGAACACCAGACGGGCTGCGGCATTCTGGATGAGTTGTAGGGGTTTAATGGCACAGGCAGGGAGCCCAGCCAACAGCGAGTTGCAGTAGTCCAGACGGGAGATGACAAGTGCCTGGACCAGGACCTGCGCCGCTTCCTGTGTAAGGCAGGGTCGCACTCTCCGAATGTTGTAGAGCATGAACCTGCAGGAGCGGGTCACCGCCTTGATGTTGGCGGAGAACGACAGGGTGTTGTCCAGGGTCACGCCTAGGCTCTTCGCACTCTGGGAGGAGGACACAGCGGAGTTGTCTACCGTGATGGCGAGATCATGGAACGGGCAGTCCTTCCCCGGGAGGAAGAGCAGCTCCGTCTTGCCAGGGTTCAGCTTGAGGTGGTGATCCGTCATCCATACTGATATGTCTGCCAGACATGCAGAGATGCGATTCGCCACCTGGTTATCAGAAGGGGGAAAGGAGAAGATTAGTTGTGTATCGTCAGCGTAGAAATGATAGGAAAGGCCATGTGAGGATATGACAGAGCCAAGTGACTTGGTGTATAGGGAGAAAAGGAGAGGGCCCAGAACCGATCCCTGGGGGACACCAGTGGTGAGAGCACGTGGTGCGGAGACAGCTTCCCGCCAGGCCACTTGGTAGGAGCGACCGGTCAGGTAGGACGCAATCCAGGAGTGAGCCGCGCCGGAGATGCCCATTTCGGAGAGGGTGGAGAGGAGGATCTGATGGTTCACAGTATCAAAGGCAGCAGACAGGTCTAGAAGGACAAGAGCAGAGGAGAGAGAGTTAGCTTTAGCAGTACGGAGAGTCTCCGTGACACAGAGAAGAGCAGTCTCAGTTGAATGACCAGTCCTGAAACCTGATTGGTTTGGATCAAGAAGGTAATTCTGAGAGAGATAGCAAGAGAGTTGGCTAAAGACGGCACGCTCAATAGTTTTGGAAAGAAAAGAAAGAAGGGATACTGGTCTGTAGTTGTTGACATCAGTGGGGTCGAGTGTTGGTTTTTTGAGAAGGGGAGTAACTCTCGCTCTCTTGAAGACGGAAGGGACATGGCCAGCGGTCAAGGATGAGTTGATCAGCGAGGTGAGGTAGGGGAGAAGGTCACCGGAGATGGTCTGGAGAAGGGAGGAGGGGATGGGGTCAAGCGGGCAGGTTGTTGGGCGGCCTGCAGTCACAAGTCGCAGGATTTTATCTGGAGAGAGAGGGGAGAAAGAAGTCAAAGCATAGGGTAGGGAAGTGTGAGCAGGACCAGCAGTGTCATTAGACTTAACAAACGAGGGGGGGGAGGATTCAGGAGGGAGGAAAATGTGGCAAAGAGCTTCCTATGGTTAGAGGCAGATGCTTGGAATTTAGAGTGGTAGAAGGTGGCCTTAGCAGCAGAAACAGATGAAGAAAATGTAGAGAGGAGGGAGTGAAAAGATGCCAAGTCGGCAGGGAGTTTAGTTTTCTTCCATTTCCGCTCCGCGGCCCGGAGCTCTGTTCTGTGAGCTCGCAATGAGTCATCAAGCCACGGAGCTGGAGGGGAGGACCGAGCCGGCCGGGAGGATAGGGGACACAGAGAGTCAAAGGATGCAGAAAGGGAGGAGAGGAGGGTTGAGGAGGCAGAATCAGGAGATTGGAGGGAGAAGGATTGAGCAGAGGGAAGAGATGATAGGATGGAAGAGGAGAGAGTAGTGGGAGAGAGAGAGCGAAGGTTGCGGCGGCGCATTACCATCTGTGTAGGGGCAGAGTGAGTAGTGTGGGAGGAGAGTGAGAGAGAAAAGGAAACAAAGTAGTGGTCGGAGACATGGAGGGGAGTTGCAGTGAGATTAGTAGAGGAGCAGCATCTAGTGAAGATGAGGTCAAGCGTATTGCCTGCCTTGTGAGTAGGGGGGGACGGTGAGAGGGTGAGGTCAAAAGAGGAGAGGAGTGGAAAGAAGGAGGCAGAGAGAAATGAGTCAAATGTGGACATAGGGAGGTTGAAATCCCCCAAAACTGTGAGGGGTGAGCCATCCTCAGGGAATGAACTTATCAAGGCGTCAAGCTCATTGATGAACTCTCCAAGGGAACCTGGAGGGCGATAGATGACAAGGATATTAAGCTTAAATGGGCTAGTGACTGTGACAGCATGGAATTCAAATGAGGAGATAGACAGATGGGTTAGGGGAAAAATTGAGAATGTCCACTTGGGAGAGATGAGGATTCCTGTACCACCACCCCTCTGACCAGATGCTCTCGGGGTATGCGAGAACACATGGTCAGACGAGGAGAGAGCAGTAGGAGTAGCGGTGTTTTCAGTGGTGATCCATGTTTCCGTCAGCGCCAGGAAGTCGAGGGACTGGAGGTTGGCATAGGCTGGGATGAAGTCAGCTTTGTTGGCAGCAGAACGGCAGTTCCAGAGGCTGCCTGCGACCTGGAACTCCACGTGGGTGGTGCGTGCAGGGACCACCAGGTTGGAGAGGCAGCAGCCACGCGGTGTGGTGCGTTTGTGTAGTCTGTGCAGAGAGGAGAGAACAGGGATAGGCAGAGGCATAGTTGACAGGCTGTAGCAAATGGCTACAAAAATGCAGAGGAGATCGGAATGAAATGGGCTAAGCATCTGGGAGCGGAGAGAGCAGGGCCTCCCTCACCAAAAACTTCTACCTCAGAAACTAAAATTGTTTCACTGAACCACCCGAAGAAAAAACTCTCCCAACTTCCGCCTTTGGAAATCAGAATTGTTGTGAACCACAGCGGTTCAATGTTTAAAGGAATAGACTCAACCCACTTTGTTCAGCTAGCCAACTATGACACCATAGCCAACTAGCAGACTAGCATCCAATAACAATAACACACCGTTTAGCGCCAACACTTGGTCACAACAAACCACCAATAATGTGATAACACACTAAACAGATCATTCGTGTCTGTGTCAAGTTCCTTTCATGACGCAGCAATGATTAGACGTTGGCTAGCTAGGACAAGTATATTGTGGTTAGCTACTACAGTACAGCCAGCTGGTCATGTTGGGTAGCTAGCAATGGCCACTGTGTCGACTCTGTTTGAAGAACGGCATTATCCACACCATTACACTAGGCTGTACCATTGACACCAGGCAGGATGGGGCCATGGACTCATGCTGCTTACGCCAAATCCTGATTCTGCCATCAGCATGACGCAACAGGAACCAGGATTCGTCAGACCAGGCAATGTTGTTCCACTCAATTGTCCAGTGTTGGTGATCGCATGCCCACTGGAGCCGCTTCTTGTTTTTAGCTGATAGGAGTGGAACCCAGGGTGGTCGTCTGCTGCAATAGCCCATCCATGACAAGGACCGACGGGTTGTGCGTTCTGAGATGCCGTTGTGCACACCACTGTTGTGCTGCGCTGTTATTTACCTTTTTGTGGCCCGCCTGTTATCTTGCCATTCTCTTTCCACCTCACTCATTTTGCGCATTCTAACGTTCAATCGAACAGTAACTGAATGCCTTGATGCCTGTCTGCCTGCTTTATATAGCAAGCCACGGCCATATGACTGTCTGTAGGTGCGAACCATTTTCATGAACGGGGTGGTGTACCTAATAAACTGACCAATGAGTGTTTACAGACATATTCAATCACTCCCTATCCCAGTCTGTTGTCCCCACTTTCCTCAAAATGTCCACCATTGTTTCTGTAATCAACAATACTGTAGTCTATATACTGTACATATACTGTCTGTATGTGATAACTCAAGACATATTACATTCAATGTTCACATTTTTAATCAAATTAGGACATTTTCTTTAAATAACAAATAATCAAGACTGTTTATTAAAGCTGGTAATTCCCAATGATGATACTTACAGTAACAACGCTAATCAGAAGAGCCTTGCATATAGAGGAAGGGTTCTAGTAGAAACAGCAGAGGCCCTTTCCAGAAACAACCCCTAACTACCCCCTTCCCATAGTCACTGGTGGAGATCTGAGAGGAGTGGACAGGTTTAAGCAATATGGTGGAATTCCACCTAGCCTATCAGAGGGCAAGGTGGAGCTATCACTATATCACTTCAACCTATAAATCATCTCAGATCTCTACAAGTATCTTGGGGGAAGGGTTGTTTCTAGATAAGAACAGAGTCACATCCATAATAAATTATTATTTCACCTAGCAACAGACCAACCAACAACCCAGCCAGCAGAAGGGTGTAGTAGTTAGCTCCATACGTGATTTAAAGACAGCTTTAATTTATTGGTATTATCAATCAAATATGTTTTAAATCGACAAGATTCTCAGCCTTAAAAAATAGATTGTTCATGACTTGCATTACACTCCCTGACTCGGTCGTTCCATGGACATATGGGTCGGTGTTCGTACCATTGTCATTATGACATCATCAATACGGGACAGAACAGAATGGAATTATTTGAATAGATGCACACAGTTGTCCAGACTGTAAATCATGCTGTTTAAACAGTGAAGTAATGAAGAGACTCTGGCCAGCACAGTTCAGTGAGACCGGCTACGTCCCAATACTCTGGTTCATCTTTCCTCCTCCTCTGCTAGAGATCACTAGCTAGATTAACTGGTTAGAACTAGTTAAAAAGGTTAATAGCTAAAGCCATATAGTCATACACTTTTTAAGTCCCCTCATATCAGTTGATACGATATGAATATGGCCAGGACCTTTTCCTGACCAAGTGACCTGACTAGGAAAACCTCCAGGTCTATAACTAAGGCTTGGAGTTTCCCCTGGTCTGTTCACATATAGCTTCTCCTAGAAGGAATGGGTATGAGGAAAGGAAGCCATTTAAGAGTATTGAGACACAGCCATGTGAGCCACAGTGGCCTGGTCTGTCTGGGTCCTCCAGGCCAGCAGAGGGAGACAAACACACCTTAAACTCTGGGAACGACAGACAAAATGGCATCCTATTTCCTATATAGTGCACTGCTTTTGACCAGGGCCCATAGGTATTAGGGTACCATTTCAGATCCAGACAGTCAGCCTCAACAGTCAAGAAACCAGCAGGCCTATGGAATCAAGAGTGCAGTGATTCTTATAAATAGTGTAAAAAAAGAAACTAGTAAACTCACTTTATATTAAATTATTGCACTCAGTTCTCTAATCTCTCACACACAGGTACAGGGAAATGACCAGAGAACCATTAACATTTCAAAACTGACATCAGGGGACGAACTTTAGTTATTTTGTGAGTCACTCACTCTCTCACACTCACACACATACAGAACTTTGGGTGGAATAATCAGTACAATAAGTAAATCAACTAGGATAATTGCTTTTCATGCTGTTTCAAAGTTACACGAGCTGTTAAAACACAAACACACACACACACATACACACACACTGAGAGGAAACCTGGATCTAGGGAGTTATGGGAATAAAACTTTGAGGTTTGAGGGAAGAAGAAGCACCTGTTTGAATTCAATACAAATCTCAAGCACCACCCAGTCCAGTGAAATATCATTAGTAGTGAACAAACCAGTGACACACTGTAATTATCAAATGGCTCTAGGTCAACAACCAATATATAAGACCTCAGATTAATAATCACTTCTGATTTCCCATTATGCTTCTCCCTTGTTACTCCCAATACAACCACCAGTGTCCCCACAACATCCTCAATCACACACACACACACACACTAGAAGAAAATAATTCATTCACACACAAAGGCAAGCTGTTCAACCACTTCAGGTAGTAGTAGTAGTAATCATCTTCATCATCATCATCAGCTCCCCAGTTCCTAATAGTAATAATAAATAGTAATAGCATCACTGAACAGTACCAGTCAAAGTCTCAGTAATGTCACTGGTGTTGTTGTTGTTGGTCAGCCAGCCCACTAGGGGGAGCCCTCCCTAAGTCTGTGCCTCCGGTAGGGGCAGCCCAGGAACGCAAGGCGCGGTCGGAGGAACGAGACCATTCGACCCGCAACAAAGCAGTCCCTTGGTTGCCGTGGCAGCTGATGCTTCACCGGTGCCGCCCCCGTTGAGGTTCCGGTAGGGTCGCCCGGGCGGTACGCGACGAGGGGTCGGCGCCCCCTTCATGCACACGGACGGAAAGCTCAGACCAATCAGACAACAGCTCGGACAGGAAATGACTTCATCTTGCTCAGAGGCGGGGCCAGCAGGGGGGCCCGGGATTGCGGCGTGGTAGCCACTAGCCCTCCAGCCAGTCGGACGGCCGACGACCACCGTCGCCGAGCCGTTGTTGTTGTCCAGACGGGGGAGAGGAGGGAGGGAGGGGGGGGCGTTGGAGACTGGGTGACCCCAGCCGTTAGGTTGCAAAAATAGGGAGGAACAGGACGAGGCTGGGTGTAGGAGAAGACTCCCTGGTGTAGGGACATCACCCTCTAGTGTGTCAGGAGACCTGCTGCAGTCCATAGGCTCCCCCAGAGAAAAACCTTCCTCCTCTTCCTCTTCCAGAGACACCATGCCCAGTTCCAGAGGCAGCCCTGAATCATCTGACACATCCTCCACCATCCCTCCCTTTTCCTTCCTCCTTTCATCCTCCACCATCCCTCCCTTCTCCTTCCTCCTTTCATCCTCCACCATCCCTCCCTTCTCCTTCCTCCTTTCATCCTCCACCATCCCTCCCTTCTCCTTCCTCCTTTCATTCTCCACCTCCTCTACCTCCTCTTTCCCCAAGCTCTGCAGGTCGGGGTCCCGGAGGAGGGCGAGGGTGTGCCCCTGCTTGGGGGTGCAGGGGAGGGACTGGCAGCGTCGGGGGGGCCCGCGGAGGAAGAGGTTCACCCTGAGGGGGGGAGATGCGCAGGGGTCAGGCTGCTGGGGGAGGGTGAAGGTCAGGGAGATGACAGACTTGCTGGGGGTGTCGTAAAGCTTGATGCGGCCCCCGTTCAGGTCCTGCCGCAGGGAGAAAGGGTTGACCCGTGCCGGGGTGCCTAGAGGGGGCGTCGTTGGGGGAAGCATGTCTGACTGGCTCCGTGACAACCGCTGGTCGCCGGGGCGACAGGGGGAACTCCGTCGTCGGTAGGGGCTGATGTGGACGGTAGCGGGTTCTGAGGAGAGATAATCACCCAGAGGGATGACCGTCTTCCTCTCCTCCTCTCCTCTCTCCATCCCCTCCAGCAACACCACTATCTCGGAGAACGAGGGACGTATCTTTGCATTCATCTGAGAAAGAGGGAGAAACAGAGTGAGGGGAGCAGGAAGAGTGTAAACAGTGCCTACTTTTTGGAATGTATGGTCGTTTTAGGTTGTCAATCTATGTATTTATAGTAAGTATGTACACAGAGTCATGGATGCATGCAATTATTATGTCAGTCTGTCAGTCTGTATCTTACATTGCAGCAGAGGACTGCAAGGTTGAGGAATGGTGCTGGACAGTCACCGACCAGGTTCTCAAAGGCATCCACGTCTAGTCCAAAGTCCTGCACACACAGAGGATCATCATCATCATCATCATCATCTTCTTATGTAGCCGACTAGCTGTCAATCAGTTTGTCTGACTAGGTTTAAAAAACATACGTGTTGTAGTTCTCCATAGTATCCACTAGATGGAGACATACACTGGGAAAGGTATACTCAAAAGGGGAACTGACAGCATTTTAGTAACATGAAGTCTTATTAAAATCTATTTATATACACCCCCCAGGAAGAATGACACTGATTTTTTGTTTTACATTTTCTGACAAGCGAGCACTTGGATATGGTCATTTTCACGTTTTCATAAATTCTTAGAATGTTTGAGAATTACATACACTACCAGTCAAAAGTTTGGACACGCCTACTCATTCAAGGGTTTTTCTTTATTTTTACATTGTAGAATAATAGTGAAGACATCAAACCTATGAAATATCACATATGGAATAATTTAGTAACAAGTCAAACAAATCAAAATATATTTTATATTTGAGATTCTTCAAATAGCCACTATTTGCCTTGATGACAGCTTTGCACACTCTTGACATTCTCTCAACCAGCTTCATGAGATAGTCACCTGGAATGCATTTCAATTAACAGGTGTGCCTTCTTCAAAGTTAATTTGTGGAATTTCTTTCCTTCTTAATGCGTTTTAGTCAATCAGTTGTGTTTTGACAAGGTAGGGGTGGTATACAGAAGATTGCCCTATTTGGTAAAAGACCAAGTCCATATTATGGCAAGAACAGCTCAAATAAGCAAGAGAGAAACAACAGTCCATCATTACTTTAAGACATGAAGGTCAGTAAATATGGAACATTTCAAGAACTTTGAAAGTTTCTTCAAGTGCAGTCGCAAAAACAATCAAGCGCTATGATGAAAATGGCTCTCATGAGGACCGCCACAGGAATGGAAGACCCATAGATACCTCTGCTGCAGAGGATAAGTTCATTAGAGTTACCAGCCTCAGAAATCGTAGCCCAAATAAATGCTTCACAGAGTTCAAGTAACAGACATCTCAACATCAACTGTTCAGAGGAGACCGTGTGAATCAGGCCTTCATGGTCGAATTGCTCCAAAGAAACCACTACTAAAGGACACCAATAAGAAGAAGAGACTTGCTTGGGCCAAGAAACACAAGCAATGGACATTAAACTGGTGGAAATGTGTCCTTTGGTCTGGAGTCCAAATTGGAGATTTTTGGTTCCAACCGCCGTGTCTTTGTGAGACGGGGTGTGGGTGAACGGATGATCTTAAATAAAGGTTAAATAAAATAAAAAAATCCCTGCATGTGTATTTCCCACCGTAAAGCATGGAGGAGGAGGTTTTATGGTGTGGGGGTGCTTTGCTGGTGACACTGTCTGTGATTGTAGTGAAATTCCCAGCCTTTGAAACCGAAACAGTGCTTCCTGAATGGGTGGAGGCAGCAAACAATGTACTAGGCCAGCTGTGATTTACAACCTGATAGTAATATTTTTTGGACTACCAATGTATTGGTGAATTATATTAATTCATTGAACTGCATCCATCTATTCTGCCAACAATGCCTTAGTGTACGTCATGGAATTTGGAGTAAAATAGAACCTACGTTTAAAACCTGGTTGGTTTTGTAGCATAAACTGGGAATTTGATATTTTTTACTGATATTATGATTGTCTGTTTGTTTCATATCTGCAAAGTAGTTAAAACGCTGTCAGTTCCTCTTTAAACCTCACATGCAAATAAACTGCTGCCCTGCACTGCAGTGATTAAATATTCAAGTCTTTCACTGCATTTACATGTGATAACTTGCAGTAAGGGAAGGGATGGCACTTATCTTCTGGGTCAAAGTGGAAAAGAATAGTTCACCGAACATGGTTATATGGTGCTGTTTGGCTGCAGAAGACATGGTTATATGGTGCTGTTTGGCTGCAGTAGACATGGTTATATGGTTGCTGGTTTGTGCCTGGCAGTTAGACATGGTTTATATGGTGCTGTTTGGCTGCAGTAGAACCAAGGTTATATGGTGCTGTTTGTCCTTGGCAGTAGACGATGTTTTATGGTTGCTGTTTTCTGGCAGTAGACTGGTTATAATGGTGCGGTTTGGCTGCCATTAGACATGTTATATGGGGCTGTTTGGCCTGGCATTAGACATGGTTATATGGTGGCTGTTTTGGCTCAGTAGACATGGTATATGGTTGCTGTTTGGCTTGCAGTAAGCAGGTTTTTATATGGTGCTGTGGGGCTTTGGCTGCAGTAACAAAGGTTATATGGTGCTTTTTTTTGCTAACAGATTTGGGTTTTTGCTCAAAAAGGTTTAAAGGGCGGTTTTTGGGTGCATAAAATGGGTTTTAAATTTCTTGTTTTGGCTGCAGAGACTGGTTATATGGTGCTTTTTGGGTCAGTGACTGGGGTTTAAATTTCTTTTGGGGGCGTAAAAGACATGGTTATTTTGGGCTGTTTTTTGGCTGCAGAACATTTATTGGTGCTTTTTTGGCTCTGGGAAAATGGTTATATGGGGGCTGTTTTGGCCTGCTAGACATGGGTTTTAAAGGGGCTTTTGGCTGAGTAAATTTAATTGCTTTTGCTTCTAACATGGTTTTATAATGGTGTGTTGGCTGCAGTAACATGGTTTTTTGGGCTTTTGGCTGCGTAACATGGTTATATGGTGCTGTTTGGCTGCATAACATGGTTATAGGTGCTGTTTGGTGCAGTAGACATGGTTATATGGGCGTTTGGCTGCAGTAGACATGGTTATATGGTGCTGTTTGGCTGCAGTAGACATGGTTATATGGTGCTGTTTGGCTGCAGTAGACATGGTTATATGGTGCTGTTTGGCTGCAGTAAACATGGTTATATGGTGCTGTTTGGCTGCAGTAAATGGTTATATGGTGGCTGTTTTGGCTGGCAGGTAGACATGGTTTATGGTGCTGTTTGGCTGCAGTAGACATGGTTATATGGTGCTGTTTGGCTGCAGTAGACATGGTTATATGGTGCTGTTTGGCTGCAGTAGACATGGTTTATGGTGCTGTTTTGGCTGCAGTAGACATGGTTAATGGTGCTGGTTTGGCTGCAGTAGACATGGTTATATGGTGCTATTTGGCTGCAGTAAGACATGGTTATATGGTGCTGTTTGGCTGCAGTAGACATGGTTATATGGTGCTGTTTGGCTGCAGTAGACATGGTTATATGGTGCTGTTTGGCTGCAGTAGACATGGTTTAATGGTGCTGTTTGGCTGCAGTAGACATGGTTATATGGTGCTGTTTGGCTGCAGTAGACATGGTTATATGGGTGCTGTTTTGGCTGCAGTAGACATGGTTATATGGGTGCTATTTGGCTTGCAGTAGACATGGTTATATGGTGCTGTTTGGCTGCAGTAACATGTTATATGGTGCATTTGGCTGCAGTAGACATGGTTATATGGTGCTGTTTGGCTGCGTAGACATTGTTATATGGTGCTGTTTGGCTGCAGTAGACAGGGTTAGATGGTGCTGTTTGGCTGCAGTAGACATGGTTATATGGTGCTGTTTGGCTGCAGTAGACATGGTTATATGGTGCTGTTTGGCTGCAGTAGACATGGTTTATATGGTGCTGTTTGGGCCTGCATGTCGACATGGTTATATGGTGCTGTTGGGCTGCAGTAGACATGTTATATGGTGCTGTTTGGCTGCAGTAGACATGGTTATATGGTGCTGTTTGGCTGCAGTAGACATGGTTATTTATGGTGCGTTTGGTGCAGTAACTGGTTTATGGTGCTGTTTGGCGCATAGAAGGTTATTGGTGCTGTTTGGCTGCAGTAGCATGGTTATTGGGGCTGTTTTCTGCTAAATGGTTAAGGTGCTGGGGTTTGGCTGCGTAGACTGGGGATTGGTTTTTGGCTGCAGTAGACAGGTTATATGGTGCGTTTGGCTCGTGACATGGGTTTTAGGTGCTTTGGTTAACATGGTTTATAGGTGCTGTTTGGCTCTGAATGTTATATGGGGGCTTTTGGCTGCAGTAAAACATGGTTTTTTATGGTGCTGTTTGGGTGCATAACATGGGTTTAAGGTGCTTTTGGGCTGGGGAGTAAACCCAAATGGAAGGTGTGTTTGGTGGTGAAATGGTTAAGGTGCTGTTTTTTGGTATAGGCATGGTTATAGGGGCATTTTGGCTGCCGTAACCCTGGGGGGTTTTGGGTGGTGGGGTTTGGTTGGGGTTTTGTTTTGTGTTTGTGTGTGTTGGTTGTTTGGTATTAAAAAAAAGGAAAACCTTGGTTAACTGGGTCCCTGTTATACAAAATTGGGGGGGGGTGGTTGGGTTTTTTTTTGGTTTTTTTTTGGTTGTTTTGGGGGTTTTGGGTTTTTTAAAACCCACGGGGGAAAGTCCGGTGCCCTATCCGGCATTACTAATAGGAATGTTATGGCCCCAACCCCCTGGGTCAAATATGCCATACTCTTAATAACACCCGGAAATATTACTATACCTTTAAAAGCCTTCATTTTAGAACAACAATTTAACAAGCCCATGCAAAAAAACACAAAGGGAAATGTTTTAAAATTGCCTTCCAGTTGGTTTTAACATGTATTTTTGATTGTTTACTGTTTTTCTTTCTCCCTATCCTGGGATTTTGCTTTTAAACCAAATGAGCCGGAAACATAGATCTGGACCTTTCCCCAAAAGACTCCCCCTTTTTACCTCCGGGGCCATAGTGGGGGACCCACCCCGGGCCAGAGCTGCTTTTCAGCCCCTCCGGCCCAAAAAAAACAAAAAAGAAGTACAACCCCCTTAAAAGGACCATTTACTAGAAGGATAGTAAGGGGGAAAATGGTGAGGGATCTATAGCTTATGAGTTGGGGGGACTTTTCACGTCTAACCTGTTTTACTTTTCTCACGGGACCAAACCCCTTGCTGGGGACTTTCCCCCCAAAAATTCCTGGGGGGCTTTTTTTTTACACAAAAAACCTGTATCTGGGGGTTTTTTTCCCGTAACCCCCTTAGTCTGGGGGACCTTTTCCCAAACACAACACCCGGGGGAATTTCCCACCATCCTTAGTTGGATCTTCCGCCAGACCAAAGCCCCACTATCATGA